TGGAATGAATGCACGATTATTAAATAAATGAGAAAATCTCATGCAAGACACATGTAATAGGTTATCAACACATTTTTTCAATGTATTTGTTTAGGATCCATCATAATGATTGTGATTAATCAGATAAAATTGATAATTCTAACTTTAGATGTCAAAAACTATTTTCATAAAGGAGTCACTCCACAATATATTTAATCTCTTTATATTAGATTCTAAGTGCTTTAGTTAAGGGGTTACAATGAAGAAAAATAAAGCTAGGTCCAAATTTTGAAAAATAATAAAATAGAGGGGAAAAGTAGAAATAAGAAGAGAAAAGGAGGGAAAGTGCAAAGCAGCTGGAAGATAAAATATTAAGAAATAAATGTGTGGTGACTGGTGAGTCTACAAATATCTTCTGCCTCTACCAACTGCATGGGTCCCACATAGTCACAACCACAACCCACTCTCGACCAAGAATTTGAAAAGACTTCTAGGAACTTACACGTGGCGAATTTTAACACGTCACATCATCCAAACGGTGTCCTGTTCCAAGCCCTCCTAGATACACGACAACTGTTTCAGCGATTAATGTAACTTCTTCTTATTTCCCAAATTACCCCTGACATTTTAAAATAAATAAAAATGATAATGACCCTCTTCTTTTATTCTTATTTTATTAATATAATAATAAAAATGATGATAACGAGATCAAGTAATTTATAATACTAAAAAATTCCTTATATGATGTAATTATTAATTATAATTGTTTTCCTTTAAATAAATGAAAATCACCCTAATAGAAAAATTTTGACAAAAGAAAGAATAAATCAGCATTATTATTATTTGAAAAAAATAATAAATAATAAAATATAGAGATATATAGCAATACTTTTAAAATCTCTTATCCTATTTTTTAGGCGTGAGGGTATAATTGTAAATTAGAAAGAAGCTTAGTTTTGTCTTGTTGTTTCAACGTTCAAAAACGGTGGTCGCGTGAGAAAACCATCAACACACAGAAGATGAGATGCATCATTATAGTGGAGCCAAGCGACGCAATGCAAATGACGTGGCGGAATGTTTACCGACGATAAACTATTGTTTTAAATTTTAGCCACACATTGAATCAACCACAGAAGAATTTAAAAAAAAAATCAGAACCAAGGCTTGATCGACACGTGGCAAAGATATGGAGGTTGGAACTGGCGGCTTTTGCTAGGCCACGCAGTATGCAGCGGCGGGTGGTTGTTTCACGAGATGGCGTGAGTGGAATGATTTGTGACCTGTTTTGCTTCAAATTTCAAAATTAAATACACATATAAAATTTCATTTGCAACACCTTAATATTTATTGGTTTTTTTTTTTTTTAATAATAAAATTGTGTTTGGCCTTAATGTGGAACATTTGTTAGCTTTAGAAATGCGACCCCCCTTACTGGCTTCAGATATGGTGTTTGGTTTTTTTTTTCTCTTTTTTTTTTAATGAGCATATTTGATTTCGGAGATATTTATCAATTCAATCTTTAAATTTATTAACAATTATCAATTTAACCTAAAAAAATATATAAACATCTCAATATTGTTAATAGATTTTGATAAAAAAGTTATTTCTTTCAAACTTAAACGAAAAATCTAGTCATCCATAAAAAAAAAAGTGTAAAATTGTATTTTTGAAACCAGTGTGATCACTATAAAAAAAATACTAAACATGATAAAGATTAATAATTTTTGAAACCAATAGGTGCCAGTGCTCATACCAAAAAAGGCCAAAACCATAGGTTTACAATAAAAAAAAGCCCTACATTTTTTTATTTAAAAAACTAATATCTATCTGAAACTTTTAAATTTGATAAAGATATATCCACTTATTATCAAAATCCCATGTCATATTTTTCGGAACAATTATCAAACTTTTATTTTAGAATGTTTTCTTCACTCCCACAAAATTGTTTAATATGAATTTATTTACATATTATTATTTTTATTAAGTGCTTTTCATATTTTAATAAAAGGGATTTTAATATTTTTAAGGGAATATCTACATACACCAAAAAATATCCTAAATTCAATACAAATGACATGTCTCATTTGGTATTGTACATCCTTCACCAAATCACCCTTTATTTCCCTTACATCACCACATAAGATTACATAGTCACTTGGGATGAAAAATTGGGATTATCTTAAGAAGTGTAGTATTATTGTTTTAAAGACCAAGTTGGCGAATAAATAAAATACATTTTTTTTTAAAGCGTGAATATATTGCTATAAATAACTAATTATAATTATTAAACTCTAAATTCGTAATAAATTTATGGAGTATAGGAGAGGGGTAATCTAAATTTGAGGTGTTCAAAGTTTTTAATTGCTTTATACTTAAATTTATTGTTATTTTTCTTCAAAATATTGGTACCTGTTTAATCTATATATTTTTGTGTGTGTAACTGTATTATTTCTTTAGATTTCTCGTAAGGATTTTTTTTAGCTTAAATTTACTTTTGTGAAGGGAATGAAATGTTGACTCTTTTAAAATATAAAATTTTTTGAAAAATTGGAATGAAGGGTATTATGGATTTATGGAGTGTCATAAGAAAAAAAAAATTCAAACTTTAAATGGAGTATCTTAAGAAATTGGACTTCTTAATCTATTCTGGTAGTACACTAGTTAATTCAATAGAGATTTACTTATAATTTTGATCATAAAACTATAATTTTGCATGTTTTAGCCCCCCTAAAATTTCCTGATTTCATCTATTTTTCAATCTTGAAATTTGGGTTGCTCCTATATCTTTTCAAGAAAAATTCTTAACGGTTAATTTCATTCGCCTCCTGTGACATAGTAAGTCAACACCGAAGTAATTTTTGAAAAGTACTAGAATTTTCTTAAAAGTACCAAAATCCCTAAACATTATCATTCAAACCCCTATAAAATATTAAAAAACTATAAATATCAAAAAACCCTCTACAATATATATATATATATATAATATAATAATATATATATAAGGGTGTTTTAAATATTTTAATAATCGCGATGTATATGAGACTTAGATATCTCTCAAAGGCGAATCAAATAAATCCTAAATTTTAATAACTAAGCGATAAAGAATTATCACCCTCTTCCAAGTCTAATTGGGAAAGTTCCGAAAATCTTTACTTAAAATACAAAATTAAAATTTTCGAGACTTCTAAAGAAATGGAAACTAATTTTGTCGAATGGAATTTCTAGTTCTAAGAAGATTTGTAGGATTAGAGGATAGAACATATTTTTTAATTTGAGTTTATTGATTTTAGTGTAAAATTGCTTAGCTATATCTTGTTAATGTGACGGTAATGAAGTTTTTATATTAAGATTAGTTACTTCCCAGTGTAATTATATTTGTGGCCAAAAATGACATTTTGGATTTTTTTACATTTTTTTTTTTTTTTCAGAAGATAAATTCAGTGTCTATAAATCCTAAGAATTCGTATTAAATACGCTTGAGAGTGTTTTATGTTTAGACTATCAATGGTCATCAATCATGAAAGTCCTTTCAACTTCTTTTATTTTTATTTTCATTTTTTACAAGGTAGAACATTTTCTTATTCTAGTAGGGGTTGTAAAAAAAATACAGAAATCGAATTGAATTGGTTTTTGGTTATCAGAAAAACGGTTGGTTCGGTCTCGGTTCAAAGAAATACAAAAACCGATTTTCCAGTTCGGTTACCGGTTTATGAGATATGGAATCGGTTTTATAAACCAGTTATTATAAAAATATTAAATAAAAAATGCGTATGTTATAAAAAATATGAATTAAAAAAAATATAAATATAAAATATGCATATTAAATTAAAATCGGTTCAAAACCAGTTAACCGGTTTTTACTAACTGGTTAACCAGTTTGGTTTCAGTTCAGGAAAATTCTTAAACCAAAAAATTGGTTCGGTTTACAAAATCGGTTAACCAGTTTTGAACACCCCTGACCCTAGTCTATGTTTGGATAAAGGTGTGAGTAAATGTAGGGGTGAAAATGAGTCTTAACTCTTAAGAAGGCTACAAAGGTAATTAAACAATTGTAAATATTTCATCAAGTATTTGTAGATTTAAAGTACTAGAATATATTTTGGTTTTTTAATATCTTATTTTAATTATAGAATAATTGAAAATATAAAAAATATTATTGATTTTTAAGTTTATTAAATTTATCTTTTATTTATTAAATTTTGTTATTTATTAAAGTTACTTTTAATATTTTTATAGAATCTGAATTTTTAATTTTTTTTCTTAAATACTTGTTAAGGGCCATTTATATTTTTAATTATTTTCCGTTAAATTAAATGGTAACTAACAGAATTTGTCCCTTTACAGTGGGTTTTAAAACTTGTGTCCTACCTAATTAGTTTTTGAGAAAAGTTTCCGCAAATTAATAAAACCCATATTAAAAATTGTTAAAACTATTGAAATATTTAAAACGACTTAGTCATTTTCTAATTTTACAATAGTTTTAAGGTTCGTATCTGAAAACTGTAATAAAAACATTTTCACTCATTCTTTGAAAAACATTTTTAGAGGTTTTTTTTATCTTGTTAACTATTAAGGAAAAAAAAAAAAGAAACTGTATTTAAAATTGGTAGACTATTTAACACAAAATTTCTTAGTCTGATTCAATGTAATCTAATAGTATTGGCTGAGAGTTAAAGTTAGTATTTTTTATGTCAACTAACCAATTTAAGTCATTGATCACCATAAAGTACTGGTCATGGATTTGTATGTTAGTAATTGACCGGATTCGACAATGGAAAAACGTAATATTTAAAACGAATCGATCAATTACACGAACTAAAATCCGAGTACAGATTATAACGTTTTCATGCATAAACTGAAATAGTATATTCTTGAAATTAACATTTCATAGAAAAGATTAATTAAATCCAAGACAAGTCCCTTTTCTTAAGGCACCTAGAGATGTCAATTCATACAAAGATCTAACAAAACACATTAAATCAACATTAAATTATGCAACAATTAATAATTATATCCAAGAAAATAACTTCCACTATCATTAATACTAAATTGATTTAGTACATCAGTCAGTTTTATATTCATTTTTCTTTTTTCATTTCTTTTTTCATAGTTCATACACACCTTTCAAACTAAACCCTTCATATTTTATACCCTATTAAAAAAAAAAAAAAAATTAATTAATTAATTGCCCTTAATTTTTGCACGTGCCACTCAAGCATTGCATTCAGCCCAACCTTCTTCTAAATCATATCTTGCTCTCCTCTTTACTCTCATCACACGTGCGAGCTTCCTTTCGACGGCCACAATTAACTTAGCCGGCACTCCAGAGACCTCCTCAAGCCTCCTGAGATTCTGCCGCGAGCCCATCGATCTATCCCCACCGTACATTCTCAACGCCACCCAAAACGACGCCGCTAAGCTCACCCTTTTCGGCAGTACCGTTAACCTCTCCAAGCACAACTCAAACACCTGACAAGCCAAAGAAACTACATCACAATTACCACTTAGCCCCAGCCACTTACACCATATTACAAAAATGCCCTCCGCCTTCGACGCATCTTTCTCGCGCTTCTCCCCGCATAATCTTGCCGGGAAATCGGAAATTTCGCCCGAAACTTCCGATACAGTACTCGAAGAAGAACTGATCTTGTTACGTCGCTTTATGTTGTGATTGGATCCGATCTTCTTCGCAGAATCTTCAGTGCTGGAGATACAATCCGACGAAGAAGACGAAGTTGTATTAGTAATCGTCGTTGAATGTAATGGGTTTTCTTGAAAACAAGATTGGCATATGGGGCTCAAAGACGACAGGGATCTCGCGCCGGAGATGAAGTTTCCGGTTAAACAATTGCATTTGCAGCACAGAGTTTGACGAACATGGCGAGCGACGAGAAAGTTGGCTTCATGAACCCGGGCATCGCATGTAAAGCAAAGGAAGGCGGAGTCGGAGTCGCAGTAGAGAGAAGCTTCTTGGTGGCAAAGCTCACAGCTTTTAGCTGGTTTGAGTTCTTTCATTCTTGATTAATTATTGGAATGAAGGGAAGGGAAGGGAAGGGAAGAAGGGAAGAAGGAAAGATGGTTAAGTAGTTGATATTATAACATGTAGGGTTGGGAAGAATTGAAGAAGGAAGAAGGGAAGGGAAGGGAAGAGAAGGGAAGGGAAGGGAAGGGAGATCAAAGGGAGGCCATGAGATTCTATGGTATGAAAGGGGATGAATGGGAAGAGAAAAAAAGATTTGGAAAGGGAGAGAGGAGAGATTTGAGGTATAAATAGATGTGAAGAAGATAAGTAGAAAAAGAGAAGGGGTTTGAGTTTTGTGGTTGATAAGAGGACTTGGATGTGAAGGAATGGGAAAGAAGAAGAAGAGAAAATGGATGAGGGAAGATGGAGGCTACCTATATATGCTCAGCCTCTTTTTATCATGTGCATCGCCTGTCCACATAAACCTCGGTTCCCTCGTACTTCTCAAAAATCCTCTTCTTTTGCATTGTCAGCCTCTTCTTTTGTATATTTATTTCTGGCCCCTAATCTTTATTTTTTTGGGCTCTGTTCACAAAATGTTTTTATTTTTATAAATATATTTGCATGGCCAAAAATTGTATTGAACCTGACAAAGTCTAATAACATCATAAATATGTAATGGCCTAAGGCCTTGACCCAATTTCGATTGAGCTCACGTTTAGAATACCTTATGAATTGTCTGCTTTATGAGTTGGATCATCCCGTGAGTTAAGCTAAACTGGGTCTAGCCCATTCACTCACAACAGTCCATATTAAGGATCGGAATTTTAATCAATTTCCTTTTCTAACAAGATCTTAGATCTCACCCAAAGAGGAAAGCCTGAACCGATAAAGGCAGGAAATCTAATCTCCTTCCAAAAGAAGAACTTACCTACTAAGTAAGATTCAGAGTCCTATTAGGATTCAGACCCTTGGGTTCACTATATAAACAAGGGTTCACTATATAAACAAGGGCTAACCCTCTCATCAGGCATTCAAAAATCACCCCTAAGATCTAGTACTCTTATTCCCAAGCTCCCAACATATTCCGACGACATCCAGACTTTGCAATCCTAAGGGCACCCTCTACAAGTCTGCCAAGATTGTCAGTGACTCACATCACAAGATCATGTCTTTACAAATTTAATTATAAATTTTATCGCTTACAATATTAATTATCGTTAAATAAAGCAGGAGAATGTCTATGGTACTGCAATGAAGATTATAATAAGGGAATTTTTTAGATAACAATATAACTATTCGATTAATAACAATCAAAGAAAAAAAAATAATTTGCACAATAGCTTGATGCACTTATGTGATATTCTAGATTTTAGATAAATGAGAAAATCTTAAGTGGAATGAATGCACAATTATTAAATAAACGAGAAAATCTCATGCAAGACCCATGCAATAGGTTATCAACACATTTTTTCAATTGTATTTGTTTTAGGATCAATCGATAATGATTATGATTAATTAGATAAAAATTGATAACTTTCATGATAGAAATTCTAACCTTAGAATGTCAAAAACTATTTTCATAATAGGAGTCACTCCACAATATTAATTTAATCTCTTTATATTAGATTCTAAGTGCTTTAGTTAAGGGGTTACAATGAAAGAAAAATAAAGCTAGGTCCAAATTTTGAAAAATAATAAAATAGAGGGGAAAAAGTAGAAATAAGAAGAGAAAAGGAGGGAAAGTGCAAAGCAGCTGGAAGATAAAATATTAAAGAATAAATGTGTGGTGACTGGTGAGTCTTACAAATATCTTCTGCCTCTACCAACTGCATGGAGTCCCACATAGTCACAACCACAACCCCAATTCTCGACCAAGAATTTGAAAAGACTTCTAGGAAACTTACACGTGGCCGAATTTTAACACGTCACATCATCCAAACGGTGTCATGTTCCAAGCCCTCCTAGATACACGACAACTGTTTCAGCGATTAATGTAACTTCTTTCTTATTTTCCCAAATTACCCCTGACATTTTAAAATAAATAAAAATGATAATGACCCTCTTCTTTTTATTCTTATTTTATTAATATAATAATAAAAATGATGATATTACGAGATCAAGTAATTTATAAATTACTAAAAAATTTCCTTATATGATGTAATTTATTAATTATAATATGTTTTCCTTTAAATAAATGAAAAATCACCCTAATAGAAAAATTATTGACAAAAAGAAAGATAAATCAGCATTATTATTATTTGAAAAAATAAATATATATATATAAATATAGAGATATATAGCAATACTTTTAAAATCTCTTATCCTATTTTTTAGCGCGTGAGGGTATAATTGTAAATTAGAAAGAAGCTTAGTGTTGTCTTGTTTCTGTTTCAACGTTCAAAAACGGTGGTCGCGTGAGAAAACCATCAACACACAGAAGATGAGATGCCCATCATTACAGTGGAGCCAAGCGACGCAATGCAAATGACGTGGCGGAATGTTTACCGACCGATATAACTATTGTTTTAAATTTTAGCCACACATTGAATCAACCACAGAAGAATTTAAAAAAAAATCAGCACCAAGGCTTGATCGACACGTGGCAAAGATATGGAGGTTGGAACTGGCGGCTTTTGCTAGGCCACGCAGTATGCAGCGGCGGTGGTTGTTTCACGAGAATGTCGTGAGTGGAATGATTTGTGACCTGTTTTTGCTTCAAATTTCAAAATTAAATACACATATAAAATTTCATTTGCAACACCTTAATATAATTATTGGTTTTTTTTTTTTTTTAATAATAAAATTGTGTGTTTGGCCTTTTAATGTGAACATTTGTTAGCTTTAGAAATGCGACCCACCCTTACTGGCTTCAGATATGGTGTTTGGTTTTTTTTTTCTCTTTTTTTTTTTAATGAGCACTATTTGATTTCGGAGATATTATTATCAATTCAATCTTTAAATTTATTAACAATTTTATCAATTTAACCTTAAAAAAAATATATAAACATCTCAATATTGTTAATAGATTTTGATAAAAAAGTTATTTCTTTCAAACTTAAACAGAAAAATCTAGTCATCCATAAAAAAAAAAAGTGTTAAAATTGTATTTTTGAAACCAGTGTGATCACTATAAAAAAAATACTAAACATATAAAGATTAAAGTTAAATTTTTGAAACCAATAGGTGCTCAGTGCTCACTACCAAAAAAGGCCAAACACATAGGTTTACAATAAAAAAAACCCTACATTTTTTTTTAGGAATTTTTTTATTTAAAAACTAATATCTATCTGAAACTTTTAAATTTGATAAAGATATATCCACTTATTATCAAAATCCCATGTCATATTTTTCCGGATACAATTATCAAACTTTTTATTTTAGAATGTTTTCTATTCACTCCCACAAAATTGTTTAATATGAATTTATTTACATATATTATTTATTTTTATTAAGTGCTTTTCATATTTTAATAAAAGGGATTTTAATATTTTTAAGGGAATATCTTACATACACCAAAAAAATATCCTAAAATTCACATACCAAATGACATGTCTCATTTGGTATTGCTACATCATTCACCAAATCACCCTTTTATTTCCATTACATCACCACATAAGATTACATAGTCACTTGGGATGAAAAATTTGGGATTATCTTTAAGAAGTGTAGTATTATTGTTTTAATAATGACCAAGTTGGACGAATAAATAAAATACATTTTTTTTTAAAGCGTGAAATTATTGCTATAAATAACTAAATTATAATTATTAAACTCTTAAATTCGTAATAAATTTATGGAGTATAGGAGAGGGTAATCTAAATTTGAGGTGTTCAAAGTTTTTAATTGCTTTATACTTAAATTTATTGTTATTTTTTTCTTCAAAATATTGGTACCTATTTTAATCTATATATTTTTTGTGTTGTTTAACTGTATTATTTTCTTTAGATTTCTCGTAAGGATTTTTTTTAGCTTTAACTTTTTACTTTTGTGAAGGGAATGAAATGTTGACTCTTTTAAAATATAAATTTTTTTGAAAAATTGGAATGAAGGGTATTTATGGATTTATGGAGTGTCATAAGAAAAAAAAAATTCAAACTTTAAAATGGAGTATCTTAAGAAATTGGACTTCTTTAATCTATTTCTGGAGTACCAATAGCTTAATTCAATAGAGATTTACTTATAATTTTGATCATAAAACTATATATTTTGCATGTTTTAGCCCCCCTAAAATTTCCTGATTTCATCTATTTTTTAATCTTGAAATTTGGGTTGCTCCTATATCTTTTCAAGAAAAATTCTTAACGGTTAATTTCATTCGCCTCCTGTGACATAGTTAAGAGTCAAACACCAAAGTAACTTTTGAAAAGTACTAGATATTTTCTTAAAAGTACCAAAATCCCTAAACATTATCATTCAAACCCCTATAAAATATTAAAAAAAATCCTATAAATATCAAAAAACCCTCTACAATATATATATATATATATTAAGGGTGTTTTAAATATTTTTAATAATCGCGATATATTTGAGACTTAGGTATCTCTCAAAAGGCGAACCAAATAAATCCTAAATTTTAATAACTAAGCGATAAAGAATTATCACCCTCTTCCAAGTCTAATTGGGAAATGTTCCGAAAATCTTTACTTAAAATACAAAATTTAAAATTTTCGAGACTTCTAAAGAAATGGAAACTAATTTTGTCGAATGGAATTTCTAGTTCTAAGAAGCAATTTGTAGTTATTAGATGGATAGAACATATTTTTTTAATTTGAGTTTATTGATTTTAGGTTAAAATTAGCTTAGCTATATCTTGTTAATGTGACGGTAAATGAAGTATTTTATATTACAGATTAGTTACTCCCCAGTGTTAATTATATTTGTGGCCAAAAATGACATTTTGGATTTCTTTACATTTTTNATCATCGTTTTTCAATTTTGACTCTCTTACTCTATTTGTTGCTTTTCTTCTAAAGTGGCTACATAACTTCACCCACTTAGAATTTTCAATATTCTTTTTTTCATTTTTCATTAAATGAATGACATCTTCAAAAAATTATAACATTGTAAAAACTTATCACTATTATTCAAACAACATGGATGGTATGTTTGCATCTCCGACCATAGGTCAAATCATATATGTATCTATTCTATCAGAATAATAGCTAATGTACCAATTTTAATCCCAAATCAGAACCCCTAAAATCCACGTACAACCCTCTCAACTTAATTATGCAAATCATTATGAATATGCGAGAGGCGACTTATTGTCATGCTTCAAAATTGTGCAAAATTATTACACTAACAAGTCATAAAACACACAATACAATGTTATTTATTTATATTTTAGGTTTTCTAACTGCACTATTTTCCTCTCTAAAATAAATAATTATAAAATAAAAAATTATTTTG